TTATGCCTAGAATATTTATTTGGTTCCAACAGATGTCCCTGATGCAGCCACAGCAAGCTGTATTTGAACAGTCAGCTGAGGGACTGAGATGGACTTAGGTGCCTGCTGTGATGTGTCACCTCAGGAGAAGGAGAAGTTATTCAGGTCACCTGCTTGCCAGCACTGCCACATTTTGTTTGGCTGAGCAACTGGTGGCAAAATAGAGAGGTTTCCAAGAGCAGTGGAGATGTCTAGGGGAGGTATTTTCTCCTTTCCAGCTAGCAGGCTCTAAAGGAGTGGAAGAAGGTTGCAAGGGTGAAGAGAGATGTCTAAAATAGGGCCATTTGTGCATGTATATAAATATATCTATATTAGTTTATATATACATTTTATATATATAATATACACATGAATATAACAAAAAGATGAAGAGTTTCTACTTTTAATAGCACCAAACTCCTCCATAATAAAGCCATGGGACCGTTAATCCTTATGAATGGTTACCGGCTGCAAAAGTACATTTATTTCATTTCCAAGGAGCAAAGCAAGCAGTTAGCAAACCACTGCAGTGCTTAGTATCATCTGTGTGAATTTTGCAAGTCTGATTTTTAATATACTCAAGTCACTTGGGATATTTTCAGCCCCCTGAGATTCGACCCCTCTGCTCAGCAGCGGTTATCCCTGCCTTGGCTAGGGGACTGCCCAGGTATTTGGCAGGCAGAAATCTGAAGCCCAAAGAAGAGCTTAGCTTTTCTGCAAGTGCTCAGAGCAAGCTTAGCTTGTTCATACTGCACTGCATTTGTTTTCCAGTGCTTCTGTGACTGCCCTATCTACCTTTTGTGCATTGGTGCATGGGACAGCATGCTCACCCCAAATGCTGGAGACTTTCAGACCGTATCCCGCTGAAACAGGCGGTTTATCCCTGGCTTTTACAGTGCTGGGGAATGATGCTTTCCAAGGAGAGGACCTTCCATTTCTCCTGAATGCCAGTCATTCAGGAGCAGCATAAGAGTAATCAAGACAAAGTCAGTCTCTAGTGCTCAGGGCAGAGAACTGGGAGGCATGAACCCCAGCACACCATCAATTTCTGTTCCTGTCTTCCCTATACAACATCACTGCTAACCCCAACTAGTTTTTATATCTGGAAATGGAGCACCATCTGGAAAGCCTTGCACAAATGGAAAAGGATGAAATCTTGAGATCCATGTAGAGCTTGGCATAGCAGCTGTGCATCTCATTGAAAACAGCTCTAAGGTTTAGCTCTTTAATTTTTCCTGGAAAAAGAACAGAGGTACGATGTAGATTACTTATTAAAAAAAAATATGTAGATTACTTGGGAATAGTGTTAGCTGGTTTAATTTTTTTCTTTTCATGGTATGTACTGTTGCTACCTGGGAGGACACATAAAGGAAGGATTAATTCTGACTCAGACAAGTGATAGATAACCTTTGATGTTTCATACATGTTTTTTGATTCCTAGACAGCTCAAAACTGGTCTGTATGTACAAATATATATATTATATATATACATATACACATTCCTGGTGAAGGCCAAACTAAATTACTTATTCTCATTTGTGAGAATCTTGACCTCTGATTTTCTGTATCTTGATGTATGTAAATAACCTTCTCCATAACAGAGAGTCCAAAAGACCCTTTTCAGTGCATTAGCCTCAGAGTTTTGCAGGCTAGTGATTACCTGTCCTCTTTTGAACCATTTAAAGATTTTGACCTCTTGCTCGCAAAATAAAATGCATAGACGCACTGTTCACATTCCTAGACAGCTTCCTTTTTCTGTACACACACAGCTTAACAAGCTTACCTGGCAAATTCGTTCCAAAACTGCTTGCAGCACTTCTCAAAGAGTATCTGTCTCAATATCTGTTAGCTATAATGTAATGCACCTTAGAAGCCTGTCAGTCATCTCTATCCTAGGTATGACCTTCTTTTTCTCCAGCCCCTGTATTTTAAATATCTGCAGAGTTAAAGAAAGTAAGTAGAGCACCCTCTACTGATCCTTTCTGATTTTTAATCAATTTTGTATTTATATATTGAATATTATTTTTTGTATTTATATACACAAATATTTATATTATATGTACATATACAAATACCTATAGCTCCAGATGAAGGAAGAATTCCTTGCTAAGCAGAGCTGTGTTCCCTAGAGGATTTAATCCTGTTTCAGACAAATTCATACTCTTCGGTGTCTTTAAGCATACAGGACTAGGCACTGCAAACATTTCACCACAGAAGGGAGCACTGTCTTTTTTTTCACATGCTAAGCACGCTAAGAACTGAGCCAAGATACAAAGGATACAAATCATTTGACTATTCCAGTGGGGCAGTAACTTCTCATCTTTCATTTCTGTGCTCATTCACAAAAATATTTTGGCTGCAATCTACACATAACTGTCTCATTTCAGAATTTTATGATAGGTCTGCATGGACTTGATGAACAGTGAAGAGGTCTCTGTTCAGAACCAACCCAATTTAAGAAGTGCTTGCAGAGCAATCAAACTTGAAAAGCAAAGATTAAGTACCCAAAATGGTGACAGGAAGCCTTTTTACTTCCATGTGCCATTCAGTTTCTTTCTCACCCTGAGCCCAAACCTGCAGTTTTATCCAAAGCCTCATTTTCTTTTGCTTCAGTATGTCTCCTGAATTCTGACACAGTGTGCTTCATGAAGCACTTACTTGCCTAAAATACTGATATGTAAGTATCAAAGTATGGATTTGAACATTTGGATTTGGAGAACAGCTCCTCCTTTTTTTAGGATGAAGATTCTGGCAAAGCCAAACCAAAAACTGAGAGGATTCAAAAATGCCATTCATAGTTTAATGTCCATTTTTAACTATTTACAAGTATGTTTTGCTATGTCACTCAATTTCTATTATACTGCTCTGTTTTTATTTGATTCAACAGTTAAGTTAGATGATGTTGAATTCACCTCAACATTTATGCCTGGCAACAGTCTTTGAGATCACAAGGCAGTGATTTCATTAGAGGACTTAAGGAAAGTGGAAGGAATGTGGGGTGTGAGAGAAAAAAAAAACCCTTTTGTTAAAACAGAAATATCTTCTGTGAAACCTATTTAAGTAATTATAGCTCTTGCAGTGTGATAGCTAAAAGATGTGGGAATAAATACGAGCCAAGTTCTTCCCTCGCTACATATTCTCCTTTTTTTTTCCTTCTTTTTTTTTTCTTCTTTTTTTCCCTTCAAATTCCTTCTTTTTTCATTCTTTTTTTCCCTTCTTTTTTTTCCTTCTTTTTTTTTTTTTTTTCTTTTTTTCCTAAATTGACTTAGGCTTGAAAGCCTCCTTCAAATTCCTCTTCTCTCTCACCAAAAGGAGAAAAGTGCTGCACCAGAGCACTCTCATGGACAACAGTGGCACGGGGCGAGTGACACTGAATATAGCAGTGACCCTCAAAACATTCCCAGTTCCTTAGGTAACTGCATAGTATAGCCTGTGTGCATTTGTCTCTATGCTGAAGCTTAGAGGTCATGCATATTTTGAGTAATAGTTATTTGGTTATCAAAGGTATTGTTGATGGTTCAGATACTGACCGGAATTTTCTCTATATAATTAACAGTAGGAGGTGGTGCTTTTTTGGATAATGGGATTTTTTGATGCTGAAGGTTGAAGGATAACAGAAAAGGGACAGTCATATGATCTTTCATATTAAGTAGGCTAGTGATAATGCCCAGGTCACACTCCCATCTCTCACTCTTTGATGTTCAAACCATTCATGAGATATGAAAAGAATGACTGACAGTGATGAAACATTGAGCGATGTCTATTGACCTCACTGGGGCTCTTCAGTCATGGTTTTGACATTTTAATCTTAGTCCCCCCCCGTCTTCTAACAATTTGGTTCACCCTTTTTTGTTTGTCTGCAGCTCTGTGTTCTTCCTGAGAACTGTCCATCACTGTAAGTCATTCTCCAGAGGGCAAAGACAGTCCATCCCATGTATTACAGATCTACTTCTAATGAGTGTCTGCGTGTGTATTCATTCCCATGGATTTTCCACCTCAGAATGCCATCCTGCTCCAGGATTCAGCTCACAACACCAGTTTCGTACATTATCGCCTGTCTCCACCTCCAGCTTTCTTCAGAGGAAGCAGTGACAAAGTAACTTGGCCTGGCCTGAGTAGCCACAGAAACTCCTGCGTAAACCACAGGACTGCAGTCCTCTCAGGCAGGCCTTGGCGACTGCTTGTGCACACCCAGGGGAATCCCTGCGATGTCCATGCGAGACACCAAGCTGCTAAATTTGGCAGTTGCTGCAGACAGGCTGAATGGCACAGGACAGATGGACTGACCACTGGGCTTCGATGGGGCTTGTAGGCTTCACCAGCCCCCTCCAGCACTGCTGTGCAGTGGAGCTGCTCCAGCCCGTCTTGCAGAATAACTGTGAGATTACACATGCTGGTGACACTGAGGATTAGGAACTGTGCTGAATGTGAATTCCTGTCCAGCAAAGATGCTCCTAACGTCTGCATGACTTCTGCACAAAGAATGGCTTGTCCAGGTTTATGTGCGTGACCTATTGCAGACTGACTTAATTCACTGCCATGTAAGGAGACAACTGTAGGATGTCGTGTTACTTCCTTCTAGTCATAAAAGGCTGTGACTGAACCTTCCAAAAACATCACATCTAGGAGAAGGGCCAGAGTTTCTACACAAATAGCATTCCACATCTTCAGATCCCTTGTTATTTTAAAAACCTTTCACAACTATCAAACACTGTAATTCATTCAGCTCATCGGGGTATTTCTTTCTGCAATGATCCTGTAGGGGAAAGCAGCTCATGGTCTGCCTTGCTTCTGGCTGCCTCATCCTGCAGGGCCCAGAAGCGCGGCCTTGTTCCTCGCTGACAGCCTGGCTCTGGACCAACTTCCCACCAAGGTGCTGTCTGGGCGCGCTCTAACCCTAGCACAACCTCCTATACCCTCGTGTTCGTGCAAAAAGAACACGGCTATATGACCCAGACAAGAGTTATGGCCATCCCAAGTTAGATGATAACTGGTATCATCTAACCACTTAGATGGCTAGATCTAAGGTAGCAGCAAGTTATCGTGTTAATCCAAACATGGCTTTTGCAATCCAGCAGATACTACTGTGACCAAAACTCTGCCTTAAACTTACTATAGGAGAGCAGATGGGCCTCAGATTCTTTAAAAGGTAAAAATGATACTTAATAGGCTGAGAGCTATAGATGAAAGTAAGTGCTAGGTTTAATTATTATTTTGGTGGCTCTAGTTTTGTACATCTTCTACCCAAGTTAAGAAAAGACTCCATTTAGTATATGTCATTTTAATCTTAATTAGTTACTAGTGTTTAAATAGTAGCTTTTGTGACAGATGTGATGTGTCACATTTCCAGGCTTTTAGGGAGGAATAATGAGTCTTGTGACCTTTCACTTTTCAAAAGTCACTTAGTTAATGAACTGTGATACAGTCCACTGCAAACAAGCATTTCGGCTGGATAGGGCGAGGTAATCCCAGTGTTACATTACATATCCAGTTCACTTTTCAACGATTTATTTATAATTTCTGCTAAACCACCATTGAAGTTTTTGAGTGCTTGGCTGATAGTAACATAACCCTTACTGACAATACAGTTCATTTTGAAGCCCAGTATAACTAAGGAACTGAGAATAAGTTGGTAGGTTAAGAGGTCATATGTGGGAACCAGTGTCCATCCTCTGTCCAAATGCCAGCTTCCAGAATGCAGTGCTGTCATCCAGCTCATCTTCCTCTCTTTTTCCTGGTTGGCCTGGGCCTTAAAGTAAAACCACCTCTCTGTAGTCAGAGCTGAGCCTGAAAAGAAAAAGAAACTCACAAAAATATCCTTTCAGAAAAAAAGATTTCTTAAAACCAAGTCCTCCTGCTTTTGTCACAGACAGCACTTCTGTACTGGCACCATCCAGAGCCCCAGGACATTTTACGCTCCAGCACTTAAATGCAATCCAGCTTGATTAGTCCTGCCCTTCCTGTTATCACATGCTGGGACCGTTGCCCTCACCTAGGGTACTTCTCGGGAGCCTTCTCTGCCAGCAGCATCCCTGTCCTTCCACTGCCGTGGCACGTGTGTCCCTAGGAGTTGCACTCTTCGCAGTGGCAAGACAGGATGTAGCGGTAAGTGGCCGTGAGCCTCATGCCCCCTGAGCAACGCAACCGCATTGCTTTCAGCTTGGAGGTCTGGGGCCGGCAGCAGTGGCACGTGGAGCGGAAAGGCTGCTTCAGGACTGTGCTGAAAGAAACCATCGGCTCTGAGCGCGACGTCTGGCTGCAGCGTCCTTCACAGCGAGCCAGCAGCACCATCTGCGAATGAATAGAGACTGGGTTAGGGAACGCACCGCCCTGGCTGTGAGCGCCCACCTAACGCCACGTGGGAAGGTCCTTCCAGCCTGCCCGGTCTGACTTCACTTTGGGCATCTCCCCAGCACGGTGACAGTACCCAACCCCACGTGGTTGACTGAGACAGGCCTCAGACACAGGTCTGGGAGAGTTCAGAGGCAATATGGACTGGCAGGAGGCAAGAGGGAGATTCCTCCTGGAACTGCAGACATCTTGATAAGGAGTATGGGACCTGAAAGCTGACCTTGAGGCTTAAGTCAGTGGCAGCCCCCTTTTCTAGGCACGGTGACTGCAACTGTGCCTTGCTTACCCCACATACATGACAGTCCAAGCCCTTAAATCATCAGCCAGACTGATACTTCTGTTGGATATTATCCAATACTTTGTGTATATATAGTAATGACCAACTGAACTGGTCCTTGGGGCCAGTGAATTCCTGAAATGCTTAAATATGTGAACATATAAAGTAGAAATATGAAGAAAATGCTCAACTTATTGCTTCTAAAGAAGTGTTTCTAGCTCCTTCTTTTGCAAATATCACCTTGAATACTTTGTAATTATATACAATTAATTCTGTACAAAAAGTGTCATGCATAGCATAAAGCAGTGAAAATATAAATCAGTAAGAACTTGGCAAATATGAAAGTTCACCAGTGAGATTTTACAAATATAACACATGCTGTGTCTTTCTTCTCCTCCTGAGTTCACCCAATGAGCTGTGACTAGAATAAAATAACTTACACAACAGGAGGAACTAAGGAAATTCCATGGGGTATAATTTGCTTTCCTTCCTAACAATCTCATGTTGAGCAGTGGTGATGTTTCCTTAGCTCTATGTAAAACATGGAAAGGAAACTCTTCAGACTATGTGTTTAGAAACAGGTCTTAAGACCTTTTAGAGATAAGCGCTTAGGATCTTAACCTGCTGTACATCTTAACGGAGAATTAAATATTAGCTAATCCAAATCAGCCAATTTTGTTTAACCAACACAAATTCTAAATTCAGCTTACTGTATCATCCAAACAAGGCAAAAATATCACTGAAGTGAGAAAGCAAAGAGTAAAACTGTGGTAACTCTGACCCTATAACCAAAGAGTAAAATTACATTTTAACTGTCTTGCACACATATCTTAGGAACAATGACAGTAAATGTTAAATGCAATGTTGCAATGTTAAACACTTCTGAGATCCATTCAGTACACACACTTAACTGGCTGAAAATCACCAAGTCTTGCAGCTTATTAGACCAGATGTTTAATTTTCAGAAGCATTCTTCATTAGGCAGAATCATGACAGAGAAAGAGAGAATATTCTTGGTATCAAGTGGAAAATACCAGCATTACCTATGTCCTTGGGAAAGGCACCGGTTGCCCGTAAAGGAAAGTACTTAGTACAGTGCTTAAAAATGACTCATTCAAGTCATGCATGCTAAATGGATTGTTTCGAATTGTATTAAGATATTAACAAATACACTTGCATTTAACATTGAGCACAAAGAAAATGCCTTTGTGAGTTAATCATCAAGAGTTTGGCACCGTCTTCTTCTTGAGTTGAAGAGATGAATTCTTGTGGCTTTTCAGTAGATTTGTCAACCTTCATGACTCATAGCATAAATTTATCATGCGATTTCTGCGATGCTCCCTATTCATAAACAAATTTGCTTCTGTGTTAGTAGTAAAATGGTAAGAAGGAAATTTCAGTCTACAGTTCAGCCACACCCCAGCTTTTCAAACAGTCCTCAGCTATGTCAGTCTACTTAATATCAGCATAGTAGGTATATACATACAGTAACTTAATATATATGTGATTCTGTGATATACAACACTGAAAGTTGTGATTATTTCAGTTACCAACACCCAATTCCTAAGAGAGAAAGAGGCACTTGCATCCTCTGCATAAACAAACCCCTTTTCTCATAGTGGTAGACACGCAGTTGGTGAAGATTTACATCAGTATCTAACTCTGTGTGTATAGAAAATGAAAGATGGGAGCCTAGTAAATTTAAGTTAGTTCCATTCAGCACAACTTGTTTGCTGTCATTATACCCCTGCTTTGAGCAGTGTCCACAAACTGCTACTACTATGTTTCAAAGACTATTCCCAACTGCTTGGCTGGAGAGAAGGCTAGGGAAAAATCCAGTAAGAGCCTTCAACAGTTCAAAGGGGCATCACAGGGGCAGTGTAGCCAAACTCAGCTCAGCAGTGAGCTAAAACAAGAGCAGCAACCACAAGTTGCCATTTGGGCAGTTCAGCCGATCTCCAGAAGTCCTTTCCAAACAATATTTTGATGATTCTGTGATTTCAGCCCAGCGTGACATCACATGTTGCTGATGAAGTTAACATAGTGGTTGATGCTTCTAGAGCATTCTGGTACTCTTATCCTAAGACCCTTTGATGTCACCCATCTGCTCCTGGGTCTGCTGGTACTATCAACCTCCCCACCCAGCCTTCAAAAAACAAGGAACGTGATTGAAAGCTGCAGAAGAGTCACAAAATTAGTAATTAGAAGGCAAAATTATCTGATGTTCCTGTATCTATCTGTATCTGTATCACAATGGATTTCTTACTAATAGCAAGCTTTGTTCTGCAAAAATAATATTTTTTCAATATGCCACTGAGATTATAACTGCTTGGTAAGCCTTGTCTTTAAAAATGGATTTCATTCTGTGAGGACTCTAATTATCTCAAATTGTGCTGGCTACTTACTTCTTCATAAGAGGATAGCTAGTATTAATCTAATGCAAAATTACCCTGAGTATTGGTTTCATGCCCTGTTTTTCAATTGGAGTGTAAATTTTTACATGTGGCATTGCACCGTGGGTATCATGTCAAGCTTGCAGGTTTAAAAATATTTGCACTTCCTATTTGGTGGCTTTCTAAACTTCTGGACTAACCTGTAGTCCTCGGCATAGCTTAGCTCACGAATCCAGCACACCGGCAGCAGATTCTGGCAGGTGTGCAAATGAGCTGGAAATAGCCTGTACTTTAAAAGCTTTGCTTTGCCATTTCTTCAATCGCACCAGCTGCTTATCGCATCGTATACTATAGCGGAATAGAGATTATCGCCTAAATAATTAGTAATGATATGATGGCATAGCACAGTAATACAGTAAGTGTATATATAGTAAAAATGTGTGGGTACTTTACAACCTGATATCTATGCCTCTTTGCTCCCTCCTCCCCCACGCATATGAGCCTGTGCATGTCACCTTGTGATGCTATTCCCGGAAGTACAGTTCAATGCCGTGTGGGAACAGGGGGGAATTCTCGCTCCCCACTGCAGCGGTGTTTGGCCAGCTCAGAAAATAGATGTTCTTGTAGACAGAAATCTCTTATTAGGTATCTGAATGGCCAGGAAAGACAATATTTCTTATAACAGCTTAGACTTAGAAAATATTTGACTCTAATCACTCAAGCCATAGTCTAGAAATTTAGAACTGGTTTGTTGTTATTATTGTTTGTAGCCCTCTTGCTTGCTCTCACTAGCAACTGGCTGATGTGCTGAAATACATGAGAAGAGACTTCCACAGAGTATTCATGGCCTGGCTGCAAGCAGGAATTACGGAAAAGCACATGAGATAGCCCAGTTCTCTATTGCTATCTTCAAAACATTCACTAAATCTCTGTTCATATAGTATGTCCCTCCCTGTATTCTTTGCTGCTAGGTGGCCAATTGTAGAGTTCTTCTGGTGCATCTGGAGGAAATACTTGTGACAGCCCACACTGTAATTCAGGAGACTCTGAATGCAGAGGCGAGGTGATCCAGGGCATCCAACATCAGGAGACCTCCCTGATAGAGGTCAGGTAGGATCCAGCAGTGGTCAGGAAAGACCACTGACAGCTGACACAATGGAGGATACTAATCTTTTATACATGCTGTTACTATAATGGAGTGCCTTTCCAAAGGCTTTTCATGTTTGGAAGCCTGATTTCAGTATCTGCCTGAGGTCACAAGCAAGAGGGATTTGATTGTAACCAACCTTGTTCCCAAGTGGGCACAATTGGCAGTCTCCACCAAGAAGTACGGTGGGCATAATCTTTTTTTAACCAAGATAGATGGCAAATATAATATGGCTTTATTTTTTTCTGTAATTCTATGCTGCAGTAAAAGGGAAAATTATACAGAGTGAAAAAGGATGTCTTTGTAGAACAAATACCAAAATATTTGTTTGTAGAACAAATACCAAAAGAGGGCAAAGCCTCTGCCTGACATAAATTATCAGTCCTAGCTCCACAAGGAAAACACAGTGGAAACAAGAGGTACCATAGCTCCCACAGCTAATCCAACAAACCCTTCCCTTTTCTGATTTTTGTTTTACCACAGTATATTTAGGAATGAACACTGTGGATAATTTTCACTAGCAAGTAATAATATTGTTCTGTTATTGTTATATTGTTATATGCTAAATCCAGAAGAGAAGTCACATATCCAGCAGATGATTCAGATCTCCGAATTCAAGGCTTAATAGAATTTTCTAGGAAATGTCAAAACTATTTGACACTGTACAGAAACTGTTTTTGTTTTTCACTTAATGAGAAAGTCCATTAATTATTTATGAGAAAGTATGTGTTATTAAAAAAAAAATAATAATAATCTTGAAGCTGTTGTAGAATTTGGGAAGCCAAAAGATGTGATAATTTTTTCAAACATGATTTCCATTAAATGCTTGATTTTTAAAATGTTGTGGACATTTCTTGCTGTTAATTTCCATGTCAGCAGTTTCATTTCCTAAGCGGTCTATTTTGAAATAATCTGGTTTTCATTAGAAAACTTTCCTGATGTTCTTTTTTACCATCAGTTCCACTCCTAAAGGCCTGACTGCTTTTCTCCATCATTAGGGATGCTAAGAAATGAAGTTGTTGGTGAATTTCCATCATTCCTTCCTGGCAGGTGGGTGGGTCTGCAGGAGAGGAGAGCAGAGGCCGGGATGCAGGAGCTCTTTGGCCCCAAGGCCCAGAGCTGCCAGGCTTGAGCTGCCTTAAGGGCTAGGCTGGGACCTGCTGTGCAGAAAGGCTCCTACCTGGGGCAGTGTGCCCACAGCAGCCATGCACTTCTCACAGCACTAATAAAGTGGCCATTTGGAACTCGTTTTGCTGCTCTGTGTGCTGGGGGCCGAGGGGGAACATCCCCAAAGCTACAGCTGGAAGGCTCTGCAAGGCCAAAACTGGGCTACCTACCACTGCCATGCACACAACCACAGCTCCTCCTGCCCTGGAGCAGGGCACGGAGCAGAGACCAAAGGCCACTGCCCTCCCCATCCAAACCATCACGATAGCGATGGTGTTTGCCTTGTAATAGGTGATCTGAAATAGCAATGGTGTTTGCCTTGTAACAGGTGATCTGAACAGCAAGGGGGGAGAAGGGCTGCTACCCCCTGCCTATGAATACAGAAAAGACACCTCCCACCCCCACTTTTCACCACTTGTAACAAAATCAATATTGCACGAACAGATGCATTTCTGCAATTATGTGTTTTAATGATGGATGTTTCCCAGATGGCAAAACAGCCTAGTTTAGGCCAAAAGTAACAACAAGGTCTCTCCTGAACTGCAAGTGATGTGTGCTTTTATTCTTTGAATTCAAAAGTAGTAGGGAAAAAGCTTTCAGTCACACATGCTTGAGAACCTGGAGTGATGCACAAAGCCAGGCAGGCAGTACTGGTGTGAAACAATGTAAGGGAGAACAGAGTCAGCCTTTTCCTTGTTTCCATCATGTACAGCCGCTGCAGGAACCATATAGTCCAACAGCCATCCTGGCAGTTCAAAGGAGCCCAGAGCATTGGTGGGTTATTATTTTCTGCTCAGGTTTCTCTCTGTGCTTTCTTTTAAATTTTATATGCTACTAATGCCAGTCATAGTACCTCATCCCTGCACTGACCACACAAAACAACGAATTCACTCTGCCCACAAAGGCATTTGATAGAGTGAGTAATAAGGGTCTTTGTTGCCAGCATCCTATCCGCTTTAGCTGCACAGGAACCCTCTCCTCTAAAACATTTCCTGACTCATTGCTGCTGTTTTTTGCTACAGGACAAAGTAGCTGCAGTCAGCCTGCCTGTCCTAAACCTCATCGCACACCCATGGCCTGTAGCATCCATAATAATGTGGGGATAGAAGAAGTGTGAGCATTTCCTGGTGTCCGCTTTTGTTTATCTACAGAACTGTGTGAATAAGGCAATTCTCTTTCCAGGAAGGATGGTCAAAGCAGAGACTATACGTTTGAATACTCCCTGGGTTAACTCAGTCAGAACAAATTAGGACAAGAAAAAAAGGGACTAGCAGAGATTTTCCCCGTTGTTTGTCTGCAGGCTTTCTCTCCACACAATGAAATCGATGACTGTAGGCTACATATCCAGGCTACTAAACCTTTTTGACACATTTTTTTTCAAGCCTGAAATCTCAAATGGAAGGCAATTTTGTATTTACTTCTGCTTTTAAGCCTTAAAGTAAATATCTTAAATGACATTCTGCATGAAGACAAAGATCTTGAGGCTAAAATGAAAAAAAAAAAAAAAAAAGCAACATGTCTCACATTTTCATAACCATTTTACAGCTTCCTTCTTTACTTCAGTACATAGGCAATGAAAAGCTTTAAATTTATGCACTCCAGATTAAAGGCTCACATGAAGGAATCAGCTGACTGGGATGATCTACATGTCTGAATCAGCCCATCTCCTTGGTGCAGAGCAGTCAACAAACTTGCTTCTTTTAATCTTACAGTTTATTGCATGTTGGTTTCACATCATTGATCTTGTGTCTCCTTTTGAAAAGGTGGAAAGACTCATGAGCCTTTTTCTCTCCCTACATTTCTGACCTATGCATCCAGATGTCTATGTATCTATAGATTTGTATTGTGGTAGCAAGGAATTTATGTAGAGATGATTAAACAACATGCCTTTTTTTTTTTTTTTTTTCCAGACCACTGATGGCAATATCCTCTTTACAGGGGATGAGAGGAGTCCTTACCTTTGAGCTGCACTTGTACAGCGGGTGACTGATAGAGTCGACGTAGTGATGCCTCATACAGCGACTAGGGTCTGAGTCGATCATGAAGGCACCGTCTGTTTTACTGTCCACGTCTCCCATTATCGCCAGGAGAGAGAGCATGGAAATTGAAGCTGCAAGTACATGATTTCCCATTGTTGAACAACTTCTCAGTGATAACAGCAGAGGGAGATAGAGTATTAAAAAAACTCCAGATATTGAGATCCCATTCCTTTCCAGGAGAGTGAAAAGTCAGGTTTAGTTCTCTTAACTGTCATTCTTCTTGAGTTAGAGTTTGTTGAGATTGTAATCCGTCAAAGAATCTCCTGCATAGCTGGAATGAAAAAACATAAATTACAGTCCTGACTAAAAAGAACTCTAGAGAAAAAGAGACATAAATAACAATAAGGCTCACAGGATTTTTGCTAGCTAAAAAAAAACACTTTCTGAGTTAACATCATTTGCACAGTAGGTACAATATATGGGATTAGGAAGGACAGGTCAAGGCCTTGTTTCTTTAACTGCTGTTCTATCATTTTACTGAGGAGCACATTTTAACTTTTAATTATGTAAGCATTGTGATACCAGTATTTTTACTTTATGATGGCCTATTGGATTCATATTAAACTGGTGATCTGTAACAGATCAGAGGTTCTGCAAACTATAAGAACTGTATATCCACTCCAAAATGTTGGCAGGCACATTCACTGCGACACAGGTAGACCACCTACTCCATAAGGATGGGGATTTCTGAGCTAGGTAACAAATGGAGATGACAGAGGTAGTTGATCCTGGTTTTCTGGACAGCATATCCATCTTTCCCAACACTATGCTGGTAGGACTAGGTATGGGCTCAGGGTGATGGAACAACAGGAGGCCAAGCCAACAGGAGGCAGAAACACCTTAGACTCTCACAACAATCACTGAGCACCTACCTTCGCTGTACTGCATATGGCTCTTATTCCCTTGCTTTCCTGTATACTGAATTTATAGCATACAGGACTCACTCTTCATGTCACACCTCCTGAATTTCAGTTTCTTTCCCCCCCTTAATTAAAGAGCAGGATCTGAAAAATACGTTATATTCCAGAATGTCCAAGTACACTGCACCTCTCTGTTGGGAAAATATGTGCAGATGGAGTGACAGAAACTACCACTTAGTCAGTTGGATTTCTGGTGCACAGTGGAAGCCTGCAGAGATCCCCAGCAAAAAGACCCAAGGCCCCTGTGGAGAGGTTCTCTGGAGCTCTGCACTGACGTGGAAAGGAGGACACTTCCCTGAGCTTCTTCATTCTACACCCTTAATTGTTCTTACAAGTTAACAGTCTGAAATGGAGGGTTTAATTTTGCTTTTACTACAGATAGCTTTAGCCTGAAAGATCTGTGAGTTATCCACCTAAATATAACCTTGCAAAATAAAGAACAGTCATAAGTAAAGCTAAAAGCAGGAGGTCTCTCAGAAGAAACAGATGATAAAACAAGTTTACTAGCCATACAGAAATAGTCTCCCAGAGCGTCTTGCCTATTTAAAGAGATGATGTGTGTCTTTATAGCCTTATACAAGCCTCTTTCAAAAATGTTTTCTGATTTGCTGGCAATATTTTAGCACGCCTGATACTCATCTCCAAAACAGCCTGAAATTACGAGGCCTCTCCACCAGAGAGCTTAATGATTTGTGGACTGCTTTGTAGCTTGCTCAAACACTTTTGTAAGACGAGTGCATAGCAGTGATAAACAGTTCCAGAGTTCATCCAAGTTGGGAGTCAGGATTTGTCAGGCTGAAGTGACATACAGAGTTTCACGCTGGGAAGAACTGTAATTAGTGATGCTCTGTGTTATCAGACATTTGCAGAAGCCTTTTTTGGGTCTAAAACTATTGTCCATATGCCTCAATAGAAAAAGAAAAATGGTGCAAATGTGTATTTAGAGGACAATATTTTTTTTTAACTTGAGTCTGGACTGTGACCTGGATATAATTTAAATATTTAGGATCACAAATCCATTTGTTTAGTCTCACGGATCTTAATAAATATTACTCAAAGCAAGATAAGACAAAAATCTCAAATGCATGACACCTTAATAAAACAGAAATGCAAAGTTGCATTTCTTGAAGATGATGCCCAAGCATTAGTTAACAGAAGGAGCAAGGCACTTTTTCCACCCCCATATTTTAACCTTTTGCCTACATTCCCATTCTTCTTTATAAAGAGGCTGACCAGAACACTCTGCTTGGCAAGGACTCTCTCCAACATAGTTAACCACTATTACACACCCAGTAATTCCTTCTCCATCCAAATAAATGTACTCGATATGTGATGTTCCCATCTCACTTGACTTTATATCTAAGTATCCCCATTTTCTACTCTATTTCTCCCAGTTTAATTTTTTTGTTTCTAATTCTTCACATGGTTTTGACCAGATTGATTTCGAGTCAGAGAAATTTTGAATCGAGTCAGAGAAATGTGGAGTCCTGCTCAGTTTTCAAAGGCTTATATTCCTATTTTTCTTTAGCAAATAATTAGAAAACACACATGAAAACACTTTGAAAAGGCTGGAAGGAAGCACAGAAAAAAAGTAAAAAAAAAAAAAAAAAAAAAGCAGCTGTAACCTTCTTTTGCATTAGCACAACATAAAATCTATACAAAAAAAAAGTAAAGCCTCATAATCTTTTAAAATAGCCTAATGCTTACATGAGAATAAAAGCAGTAAAATAAATGCCCTTGATAACAAAACTCCAAAAGAAAACAAGAATACAAGAACATTTGCAAGCAAAAAGAGAGCCCACAGATGTAAATGTAGCCCACCTTTCATGAAAAAAAATGGTGTTCAACTGCTGATAGACATATTGGCAAAATGAATGTGCAAGTATTGGAAAGAGGAAAGTAGAAAACACTGTGATATTTGTAGATTCCAGTTATCTTCTGACCTAGCTATGTGAGTGCATGTGCATTTTTTAAGTAAAAGTACATGTATACCACATATAATGGAGCTCTTTTGAAAAAAAAAGTCTTACGGGATTTCTTAAATATTTTGAAATTAGCTTGGACTTAGAGCAGGAAGAATTTGTCCTTCTTAATCAGGATCAGATGTCTAAATATTTTCACTCAGGTTCATCATCATGATTAAGTATATTGACATGACATTTTCCATTTCCAGTTGATATATTACAGTAGCATTTCATTTAAAACCAGTGTTTTTAAGCTTGTTTTCCTTCTGAAATACTGTCTGAAATTATAAAATCCTAAACAATAGAGTATATCAGGAGTAACAGAATCATTATGGTTAGTAAAGACCTTCAAGATCATCAAGTCCAACCATATCTGTATATCTGTATATATCTGTTCCTTTGAGTATATATCTGTACCTTCCAGTCTCTCCTGACTAAAAGAAGAAACAAGCAAACTTGTAATTGATAACCATTATAGTTGCACTTAGGATGACATTTTGAGTTTCAGTTGATTTGGAAAATACACTTCTTTTGATTAAATTATCTTCTTTTCATAAAATAAAACTATTGTAATTAGGTAATTTTTTTCCTGGTATTTCTTTTTATGTGAAAAATTGTAGCTAACAGTCAATCTGCCAAGCTAACAAAGAGAGAGCTAAAATCTTTCTGCTTTACAACATACCATAAAGAGGAAGATACTAAGGTGACTTCATATTCTTAGACTTAAAATTGGCTAAAGGATATTTGGCCTAATATTAGATGAAAATCACTACTTCCCATTGTTACATAATTCACTGATATGGCTATTATATTATGATATTAATATATCTGTGATGGTCTTTCCATGCAATTAAATTTCATGAGTTCATATGAACACAGCATGCATAAAGCTGTTGTATCTGTTACCTAACCTGTAGAGAAGAATAGAAGATATCTTAGAGGAACAGCATTTGAACATGTAATCAACAGCTGTATTACACTTAAATGTAAGGTCAGATTTAAGGTTCTTTTTCCAATTTCATATAATATTTAACTGTATTGTAAATGCTGAAATAAAATTTTCGTATCATACTGAATATTATTAATTTAGATAGCCGTGGAAGTTAAGATCTTGCTTTGCTTTCAGGACAGAAGAGAAAATCCATCATCTGGAATTATTTAGCCAGTCACTCTGTGAAAACGTAAACAGAAATTCCCTTTTGCTTTGTGTCTTGGAAAAAATAAAGACTCAAGGAATTCTCCTAAAGTCTATTGCATCTGCACAGTTTTTATGCTGGAAGATAGAAAGGGAACAACGGAAAAGCTCATTCATGGTGTACTTGATTTCGCTGTTTCCTGTCCACAAGCCCTAAAAAATTAGGCATGCACGTATGTTCAACTTGGCCTTCATTTCCTGTGTATTTTCCATGTTTGAGAGTCTTGCTTGGTGATGATGGTGCAATCCAATTGACTCAATGTATTTTATGTTTCAGAAGCTGCCAAAATCCAGTTGGAGCAGCAGTGTGTATATATAACTAAGTCTGGCCTTGCATGTTGTGCATATTTAGTAAACATAATTACTTGGATCCTACCATGCGGTTCCTTCATTCTGAATTCGCTATGTAAACAGAAAAGTTACGACAGCACTCAGAGTTTCTCCAAACTCCAGCTGTAAAGAAAGTGTCACTAACCTTATATATATGTAATTGATCTTTATGAAAATAAAATTGATCACATGTCTAAAATTTTATGCCAGAAAGTTTCTGATTTGGATAATTTTTACTCTCCTAAAATCTGGACCAGAATGTAAAATGACTGTGTTGGTCAAAATACACTGTCAGGTTACATCACAGTTCATTCTGGCAGGATTAAACTCTGCTTCAAAGCAAAGGGCCACAGAAGTGGGTTGGGAGGCCGGGGAGATGCTGGGAGTCCCAAGCCCCACAGCCATGGGTAGTGCCAATACTACCAGCTGCTGCTTCCTCTCTCAGAGCAACCTTATCATGCTGGTCCCTGGGTAACAAACCAGAGCTTTCGGGGAGCTCAGGGAAACATCATTTCTGCTCCTGAAATGAGTTATCATGGCCTCAGCTCTAGCCTGGGCTTCAGGGTCCTGCATGCAAAGCTTGGCCACTGCTGTGAGAAGCTTCCAGTGGCAGACGGATTGTGCTCTCACTAGCGCCGTCCTTCCAGCAGCTACCTCATGAAGACGGACATTAGTCTGCGAGTGCACAGCCCTAGTTTTGCTCTAAAGCTATGTGTGCACTGGGAGGCTAAACTCATATGGAGGGGCAATCTGGCCCTGCAGATGGGCAGCATGGAGCAGCCAGCTCACAGCAAACTAGCTGCCCTTCACAGAGCATATGTCTTCCAGCACATGCATACTCCCATACCATGCTGGGGAGCAT